CCCCAATCGGCCGTGGCTGCAGGGCTTGGAGGAGAAGCGGGCCAAGTCCAATATCATCGAGTGGCCAGGGCTACCGCCCAGAAAGTTTGGCATGTTGGTCTCGTTGTTCACATCCAGATATGCCAGGGCCCAATTCCTGTCGTTAACGATTGGGGCCACGACCGCGTGGGCCCTAGAGCTGGTCCTCGAGCTGATCCTCCTCCACTATCCTTTCGACCTCATCATTGCTGTCGCCCATGCTACACCGTGGAGCGTTTCTGCTCAAAGGGTTCGAGCGGTCCTGCGAGTCTGGCGCCACCACGTCCGACACACCAGTGCGACGGCCATGAGCAGTGGGGGTCGGCGTGGTTGGCATGGAGGTTCCTGGAACTACGACCGTGGCTACGACCGCGGCAAGTACGACAAGTACGACAAGGACAAGGACGACCGCTACAAGGATGACAAGTACGACCGCAACCGAGATCGTGACCGCTACAAGGACAGTCGTGGGGACCGTGATCGAGATCGTGACCGCCGCCATGATTCACGTGATCGAAAGGATCGACGACGAGACGACAGCTCGGAGTCTCCTCGATCCCGTGAGCGTCGGTCACGTGACACGAGCCGCCGTCCAGGCTCGCGCGACCGCCAGAAGCGGAGTCACAGCGACCGCCCGTCCGAGAAGGCGATTGAGGAGCTCCGCAAATCCTTGGCTGCGGTAGACAAGGAGTATGCCGCCTACCAGCATGACCTCAAGTGCCGCCAGAAGGAAACGGAGCTTCGCAAGCAGGGCGAGTATGTGGCGGCGGCCCTACGCAGTGCGTTCACGGCGCAGACGGATGAGCTCAAGAAGCAGCTAGGCCCACGTGAATGCCCGCTGACGCCACGAGCAGAAAGCCCGACCCCGCCCAAGAACGACGAGAAGAAGGAGTTCACACGTGCTGAGCTCGGGTGGCTTCAGGCGGTGGTCGGCACGAAGACCAAGCTCCCTGCCACCGGGGAGAGGAACATGGTCGAGGGTGTTCTCGTGAAGGCGCTGAAGGATGACAAGGTGGCCACCGCCAACGCTAACAAGGTGCTACGGAGCCACTTGCCACGCAAACAAATCCCAGCGAGCCATAAGGATAAAGTGAGTTCTTTGATAGATGTGGTCCTCGGGCGGATAGGCTGAGAACACCAACAAGACTTGCAACCACCGTATGATGCCGACCATCGTGTGCCAGAGGGTTGTGATGAAGTGTGGATCTCTTTACATACATTCCGTGGTTATGTGCTGATCTTTTTCATCATTGGCATGTCTTTGGGAGTCACTATCAATGTGTGGATGCCATCATCCAGCTACCGCCACTACGAGGTACTGAAGGCATACTGGCTACTCAACTGGAGCCATGTGCGGGAGGCGAAAGGCATCCAATATGTAATCAACTCATTGGAGCTTCCCTTCTCAGTGTTCTCAAATAGTGAGGCAGCAGTAGTGCAGTCATGTGTGTCAGGCCTAGTAGGGGTCGCAATCTCATCCGTTTTTTCTCGCACCACGGGCGTAGACCCCCAGAGGTACCTTCAGAGGCCCCGTAGGCCTCGCGAGCGTGACGCTCTCCTTCCTGAGGCCGACTTTCCATCCTTGGAAATCTAGCTGGTTTCAGAGGAGGGCTGATTTTGCAGCCTACGGATTTCTCCTCACCCCCTTCCCCCTTCCCTACTACCACATCTGACCCTGTCCCATCGTCTTCCTCCCTCCCCCTCCCCTGCCCACGAGCCACCGTGCCTGTCTTGTGATCGAGGCCCCGTGGAGTCAAGCCTGTCACACGCCCTGGGCTGTACCCCTAGTGTGGGGCAGGGAGGCACCATTTGGCCCCTTGATCCCTGTCCTGTGCCAGTAGACGGGTGAGCTGTACCTCAACGTTGACACCACAGACGGGGCAGGCACGGCTTGGACAAGCCGACATAGCGGTGCCTGTTCCGCTCCGCCACGGAGGCTGTGCTCTACTTTGACCCCCGACCTCACTACCTCACCCCACCACACCTCCCCGTGCCTGCCAGCCACCTTGTCGGGCGCGCCTTTGGAAGAGATCCTTAGGATGGGACTCTCTCTCTCTCTCTCTCTCTCTCTTTCAACCCACCCTTAAGAGTTCAGCAATCCCCGTGTCCCCCATCTCCTTTTCCCCAACTGTCCGTGCCGTCGTCGCTCATGCTCGAGCCTGTTCGGAGTAGCCTGGGTGCCCAAGCGGCGCTCACAGCATCCAGGCTGGCCGCCACTCTTCTTTGGAGTGCTCTGCAGTGGGCTCGCGAAACCTCATACATAGTGGGTATCGGAAACAGTAACTCTCTCTCTCTCTCTCTCTCTCTCAGCACAACCCCCCCAGCACAACCCTCCAGCACAACCCTCCAGCGCAACCCTCCAGCACAACCCTCCAGCACAACCCTCCAGCACAACCCTCCAGCACAACCCTCCAGCACAACCCTCCAGCACAACCCCGCAGCACAACCCCTCAGCACAACCTCTTGAGGTTTATTATCGTCGGCAGTTTTTTATCGTCGGCAGTGGTCGATAGCAACTCCTGAGCTCTCCGGGAACGCGGCGGCGCGCAAATGATACGCATGTTTTTGAAAAACTTCATTTTTTTAATATAAAAAAAATGCGAATTCCATTGAAATCTTTTCGAATTTGCAAAATCGAGCCGTCAGGCGCTTGAATGCCGCACTGCGTTCGAGATTTAGGCGAAAGCGTGTGCGACGCAATTTTCTCATGACACGCATTTTTTTTGAAAAACCTTATTTTGACAAAAAATATTATATTTGGTTGCGAATTCTATTGAAATCCTTTCGAAATTGCGGATCGCGCGCCTGAATGCCACACTGCGTTCGATATTCGGGCAAAAGCGCGCGCGACGCAAATTTCTCATAAATGCGTCGCGTGCTTAAATCTCGAACGCAATGTGGCATTCAAGCGCCTGACGGCTCGATTTCGCAATTTTGAAAGGATTACAATGGAATTCGCACTTTAAAAAAGTGTTGTTTTCTTTTCTCTCAAAATGAAGTTTTTCAAAAAATGCATATCATTTGCGTGCCGCCGTCTTCCGGGAGAGCTCAGGAGTTGCGATTGACCACTGCCGATGATAAAAAACTGCCGACGATAATACACCTCAGCCGATGATAAAAAACTGCCGACGATAATAAACCTCAGAGGAGCGCACGGCGGGAGAGAGAGAGAGAGAGAGAGTCTCACCTCTCTCTCTCTCTCTCTCTCCCTCCCTCTCTCCTCTTTCTCTCACTATCTCTCTCTGCTCACGGTGAGCTGCTGAAGCAGAGCTGCTCAAGCAGATGGCTGCTCAGAGAGCAGAACCAGACAATGAGACCTTCGAGAATAAAAAACACAATTATTTCGAGGATGTCTCAAGCGAAATAAGCAATAGTTTGACGGTGTCTCAAGCGAAATAAGTAATAGTTTAAGGATGTCTCAAGCGAAATACGCAATAGTTTCAGGATGTTCAGGCGAAATCAGCAATAGTTTGATGATGTTTCAAGCGACAAACACAATTATTTCAAGGATGTCTCAAGCGAAATAAGCAATAGTTTGACGGTGTCTCAAGTGAAATAAGCAATAGTTTGTGGATGTCTCAAGCGAAGCAAGGGATTTGTCGAGGATGTCTCCAGCGAGATAAGCCATTGTTGAGGATATTTTAATGAAGACTAAACGCCAAGGATGTCTCAAAACGTGCTCGGTTTGGTCTCCTCTTGATCATCTCTTACTTCGAGATTATGCTGAGGTCTGGTGGGCTACTTTGATTATCTCCCCCTGAACCCCGAACTTTATTATCCCCTAGTGTTTATTATCGTGAGCATGGGGTTACTCTCAGCGACCAGCCAGCTGGTCTGGGCGCGGACTGGCGCGCCTCCTTTGCCCCCCCCCTTCCCCTCTTCCCTCCTCCTCCCCTCCCTTCGCGCTTGTCGCTCGTCTGTCGTCCGTCTTTTTCGTCGTCGCGTCGTGCCGCCCCCCTGCGCTCTGCCACTGGGCTCCCATTCACTGGTAAAAAAGTGTACGTCCTCCGTTCGCTCCAAAGCATTCCGACTCGCGGCGGACGAGGAGGAGGACGAGGAGGAGGAGGAGGAGAAGGAGGAGGAGGAGGAGGAGGACGAGGAGGAGGACGAGGAGGAGGAGGAGGAGGAGGAGCAGGAGCAGGAGGAGGAGCAGGAGCAGGAGGAGGAGGAGGAGGCGAAGCGTCCCGACTCGCGGCAGCGTGGCCGCCGCGGCGGCCCGGGGCGCCAGGCCACGGCGAGAAGCCGCGGGCGGCGGCCACGCCGGCGTGGCGCGCGGCCCGCCGCGGCGCGCGGCCCGCCGGCGCCGCGGCGACGGCCCGCGGCGACGTCGGCGCCACCAAGCGACCGACCGCGCCAGGACGACGACCACCGCCACCACGACCGACGGCGGCGACGACGATTTACGACGACGACGACAACGGCGAGGCGCTCATCGGGCACGGCCGACCGACCAGGCATGCCCGGTGGCGTGCCACGAGGTGTTCTCGGAGCAGAGCCCGGGCCACGCGAAGGGCGATGCTGGTGAACGGCGATGCAAGGAATGTGGCTTCTGCGACGCCGAACCCGCGCAGAACAATTTGTAGGAGAACACGCACAACGCTTTCGCTTTCCTGCAATTGGGTTGGCCACGAACCACCCCCACCTGCAATACTGAAAACTACACCGCTGTTACCTACATCGCCGTTAGCGTGTCTACGGCAGAACGATAACCAACTCAAGGTTCGTGGGACCATAAAACCGATGTCTCAAAACAAAACGGTATCAGCCAGAAATACTGTACTAACATGCTGCACAAATCACAAATTGCTCAGAACACTTCGTCGCTGCTGAACACGATACCGCCACCACGACAGGGACGACGGCGGCAAACGACGACGACGATGATGACGATGATGACGACGACGACGACGACGACGACGACGACGACGACGACGACGACGACGACGGGGGCAGCGGTGGCGCGCAGGAGAGGGGCACGGTTCCACGAGGTCGTTTCGGTAGAGCTCCAGCATGGAGCACATCACAGTGTAGTCGCACCGGATCTTGCCTCTATTCGGGGGTCGGGAACGTGTGTTCGCGCGAACGTGTACTTATCCAACAGAGCTCTTCAAAACGACGCAGGCGATGTCCGCCACCGCGCTTGCAGCGGTTGGTGTGCGTCGGGCCCTTTTGCCTTTTGCGACGCAATAAGTAGGGCCCCCCGACGCATCGAGCCCAAGGTGCGCTCGCTTTTGTAGCCGCGTCCCTGCGTTTTTGGCCTTCCCGGCAAAAAAGGGCTCCAAACCCAGACATGCGACGTCCTGATTTTTTCAGGACGACGTCTCTGGAAGTCCCGACCCTTTCCCCAGGGCGGGTTTTTCATCCTGAGTCGTTGTTTGACGGTCCCGGGGCACCGCGAGGGCCTCTAGAGGCCGAAAACGGCGAAAAACCTCCGTCCTGATTTGTTTTTTACGACGCGATCACGTCTAGGAGTACAACGATTAGGGAAGGGGGGCTCCATGGACCCTCCCCCCTCCCCTTCCCCAAGGCGCCCCCCGCCCCCCCGCCCGCCCGAGCGCGGCGGCGGAGTCGCGCGGCCGTGCAACTGGACGATTGCGGCCGACACAGGCTGCGTGCTATCGGCGGAGCTGACCAGGGTACACCAGGGCTGGACCTAAGCACTGCTTTGCTGGACTTCGGCTGCGTTTTGTGTTTCGTTTTGGAAGGGAGGTAGAGCGAAACAGGTAGAGCAAAACGAAAAACAAACCGAAAACAAAACGAAAAACAACGTTTAGGTCCAGCCCTGGGGTAAACACACACACACACACACACACACGTTGGCCTAACACGCGTCCTGAGGGCCATCGCACTGGAGAGCCATGGGGATCGAAGGTCGATGAGGATCAAGGCTCGAGGAGGGTCGAAGAGGGTGTCAAGGAGTGTCGAGGAGGACGAGGATCCAGGTGTTAGACTTTCGCGCTCTTGGGCTGCGGAGGCCTCCGCGAGGCCCCTGGATCTCCGGGGACCTCTAGGAACCTCCAGCGGGACTCCATCCTGGAGGCCTCGGGAGACCTCCGCAGATCTCTTGAGGGGCAACCTTCGGGGGGGACCAGCTCAGAGGGCGAAACATCGAGCTGGAATCGGCGATATATTGCCGATAGATCGGCGATGGGCCCCCGATTGTGACCACCGCACGCTCCCCGGCGGAGTGGGCTATCGGGCCCCCCTCGGCGATGCATGGGCGACTAGGGGCCGGTGCATCCACCACCCTGAGCACATCCCCCCCTGACGTTGCGCCTGATGGAGGCCTCTCGGGACATCTGGGGATCTCTGCGGGCCTCCAGGGGACCTCTGGAGGCCCCACGGGGACCTCTGCGGCCTGCTGAGGCCTGTGGCAGCCTCTGGAGACAGGGCATCCACCGAGGGGGGGTACGCGCTCTCAAACTGCGAGCCCAAGCGAGAGTGGAAGGATGCACGCTTAGGCAGAGAAAGAGAAAGATAGAGAAAGAGAGAGAGAGAGGGGGAGGGGTCGTAAACCGAAGACTGCGCCCCCCCCTCAAGCATCCTTGTCACCCGCAAGATGGTTATGTCGGCACCCCACTATACACTACATCACACTCTACACTACCCTATTATATGATACTCCATCGTACTCTACACGTACTCTGGAGCTAACGCTTCAAAAGAATTAGTGTACCCTGTGAGCCCGACCGTACCCGATCCGGCACGTCCATTTCCTAAATATGCTTCTTATGTTTTCTGGACTCCGTGCCCATCCTACCTGTGAAATCCCACCAGCCCTTTGGGAGTGAGCGGTTTAGCGAGTTGGTTATTCTAACCTTCCTTCTTCCCCTCGGCGAAAGAATTACTACTGTGACATATTAATATGTATGTATGCATGTATGTATGTGTCCTCCCCCCACCCGACTGGCGACAAACCCGGGATCATGCCACCACCCACCCGCCATCCCTGATAAAGACAGTACGTCATGCACTTTACATCAAAATCTGGATCACGCGCGGACGCCCGGCGATCACTTCGCCTCGGTTTTTGACGGGAGCGGCGGGGGTGCCAGCATATTGCCTGCTGTGTGCGACGCAAGCCACCCCGAGCCATCCCTTGCAAAAAAAAGTGCAAAGTGCACTTTGCACCACAATCTGGGTCATGCGCGGACGCCCCGCGATCACTTCGCACGAGCTTTTGGCAGGAACGGCGGGTGGGCCGGCATATTGCCTGCTGTGTGCAGTCCCGATCATGCAATGTTCCCTTTGACAGGAGCGGCGGGGGGGGGGGACGGCATGATGCATGCTGTGTGCAGGCCTTCTATACCTGTCAGAACATATGAAAAATGACTTCGGGCGCACACCCACACATACACACACAACACACAATGCTCGCAAACCCACCGTCACTTTGCATCGGTTTTTGACAGCGATGGTGGGGCGGTCGAAGGATTGCCCGATGTTGAGCACCTGGTGCGCGTGGCGCACCTGGCACGTGCGGTGCACCCCGCGAGCACCACGCACCTGGCTGGCGTCTGCAATGGTTCCTGACGCTTGTCGATGGCGGCCCCTGCCAGTGCTGAGACTCGAGTGCACTTATGTACTGGGAGGGCGGGTGGGAGCGAGCGACACGGCTTGCAGCTTGGGATACCTTAACCCCTCCCCCTACCCAATGCCCCTGGGTTTGAACGGGGGGGGAGGCGACCGACTGGAGCGTCCAAGAAGACCTCAGCGAGTAGGCAAAGAAACATAAATATGTCCCAGGTGCTGGGCAGAGTGTTTGCCTCCTGGGGGGGGGGGGGGGCGATGCTGTTAGAGGACCCGCCTCTCTTTTATCGATGGCCTCCCAGATGGCGCCAAGACGGCCCGGAAAGCTCAGAGGAGAGCCCCATGAGGGTCCCAAGAGGCCCTCAAGAGTCCCCCAAGCGGCCCCCAAGAGGCCCCAAGAGGCCCCCAAGAGGCCTCCAAGAGGTTCCACGAGGCTCCAAAGAGACACCCACGACGCCCCAAGAAGCCCCCAAGAGGCCACCAAGAGCTGCCAAGAGGCCTTCAAGACGCCCATCCCGCGAGACTCCGAGAGCCATCCAAGGGACCTCTGTCCCACAGAGGCCCCCCCAGCTCTCCAAATGATGCCACGCTCCCCCGATCAGGGCAACTCCCCTGGGCAACGTTCCAAGATGGGCTGGTGGGGATACGCGAAGCGTTCAGAATTGAACCATTCGTTGATCCGCCCCATCTGGCCCCGACACGATCCATTCAAAAATAGACTACACGGTGGGCATTGTTTGACAAATGTTGCGAATCCATCGAACACACACACACACATGAACTACGATCATGCGGACCACATCCGCGAGCTCGCGCGCAAAAGACAAAACCTGTCAAAACCATTGGCGATGTAAGCATCAGCATCTTGATGCATATACGGAAATCAATGGCTGTCAGTACACATGAGTTGGAAATAAAATGACAGAACTTCATCACACGCGCAAGTGCTCATCAACGCCAGTATCAAAATACGTGCATGATGTCATTATCTTGCAATGCCTTCTGAGGGTATTCAGCAAACAAGTTGATGAGATCCGCAACAAATGGACAAGAAGTCTATGTTGCGGCTTTCTCGGGCAAGATGGGATTGTTCCGACGCGATGAGGGTATAAGGAGTAAAGATCACAGGCCGAACTGTACTCGACTGTACTCCACCTGCGGGAATCCCGGCAGCCCTTTAGGGCATGAGCATCTGGTCACCTTTCCTCTTCCAACCCCCCTCATTCCCCTTTCGAGGAGGGGTTTACGCCTGTTCCCCATCAGTGTAAACACCACCTCCCCCAGACGACCGGCAGCCAACACGGACCGATGTGAACACCCCCCGGTGCAAAAAAAACACAAGGCAGTTCAGCTACACTCTGCCTCCAAGTTTGGAGCCCGCGCGGACGCCCCACCGCCACTCTGCACCGGTTTCTGACAGGGACGGAGGTGGTGCCGCATATCGCTTGCTGCGCGCAGGCCAACCATCCCTGTCAACAGAAGAATACGAAATACACGTTGGCTCCAAGTCTGGAGCATGACCAGGGCCCTCTTTTCGCTGAGCACTCATCTGTTCCACGATTCCTCAAGATATCACAGGTTGTCCATCGGTGTCAGTACTTGGCGCTCCCTGGAGGAGCCGCCCTTGTCACAGAATGCTCGGCACATCGACTCAGGGGCATTCAAGATCCTGCAATCCTTGGGGCCAATGCCCCAGGCACGTTGGGTCCCTAATTGGCTCCCCGCGGCTGGCGAACCTGGCGCGACTGGAGCACGTGGCACAGTTGGCGCACGTGGAGCATGTGCCGCAACTGGCACGCGTGGGACTCCAAGGCGCCTGGTTCACATCTGGAACCCGTGGCGCATATGGCATGTGCGGCGTTCCTAGGCGATCTGCTGACACCAGGGTGCTCCTTTGTGTTGGGAGGGCGGATGCGAGTGAGCCAGACGGCCTGCTATCTAGGAAGGTAGCTTGATCACTACGCCATATTCATATACACCCTCTCCCCCAGGCGACCGGCAGCCAACCAGGAACCATGAGGACCACATGTTCACCCCCCACCATCCCTGCCAAAAACAATACAAAGCGCACTCTGCCTCCACATTTGGAGCATGCGTGGCCAACCCGATGCGGCACCCCCACACCATCCCTGTCAAAAACAATACAAAGTACACTTTGGAGCAAAATCTTGAGGCACTTTGTATTCTTTTTGACCGAGACGGCGGGGGTGTCAGCATGCGTCCACAGAACGCTCTTTTTCCTATATCAGTCCAAGAAGGCCGCAAGCGTGTAGGAGGGGGGAACAGGGGTGATGGTGATGCTGACCATCAAAATGAGGTCGATGATGATGTGACGACGCCATGGTTTCAAGTATGTGTTCGTTTCTCGCCCTCTGGTTTCAGACGAAGACGACCCGAGAGGCCTCCGAGTTGGCCCCAACACGGCCCCCAAAAAAAACGAGAGGGCCTCAAGAAGGGCTAAGGTGGCCCCAAGACGGCCCAAGAGGACTCCAGGACGGCTTCAAGAAGACCCTAAGACAGGCCACGAGACCTCCAAGACGGCCCTAAAGTGCCAAAAGACTGCCCCAGGGCGGCCCAGAGAGACCCCCTCCACTGCATCCGAAGGCCACCAGGCCGCCAAGAGGCCCACAGGGGCCCCCAAGAGGCCCCCAAGAGGCCCCAGGAGGCCCTCAAGAGGTTCATCAGAGGCCTCGAGGGGCCCCGCGGCCCCAAGGAGGCCCCAAGAGGTCCCCACGAGGCCTCCTCATCTTCTCATGTGTGTTATCAATGATATTAGACGGCTTGCTCATGCAATAGTTAATCATAGAATCGCACTCGTAATATTATAAGGTGCCTTCCTCCTCCTCCTCCTCCTCCTCCTCCTCCTCCTCTTCCTCCTCCTCGTCCTCCTCCTCCTCCTCCTCCCCCTCCTCCTCTTCTTCCTCCTCATCCTCCTCTTCTTCCTCCTCATCCTCCTCCTCGTCCTCCTCCTCTTCCTCATCCTCTTCCTCCTCCTCCTCCTCCTCCTCCTCCTCCTCCTCCTCTTCCTCCTCCTCATCCTCCTCATTATCCCTCTACTCCTGCTATGTAGCTGTATGTGTTTCTCTCTCTCTCTCTCGCTCTCTCTATCCCTCTCTTCCTCCTCCTCCTCCTCATCATCATCATCATCATCATGATCATCATCCTCCTCCAAATGTTCCCCCCGAGGTTCCCATAACGGCTGGGGGAGCCAACGCCCAACTATCTAGGCAAGACGTCGGCCCAACGTTTGACCACATGGGCGCGTCCAGAAGGCGAGTGGCGGCAGTGGTTCACCGCAGGCGTGCGTCTTGGATGTGTACGCTGAGCGCAACGCGAGGCATTCTGGGAGATCGACGGAGGAGGAGGAGGACGAGGAGAAGGAGAAGGAGGTGGACGACGACGACGAGGAGGAAGAGGTGGAGGAGGGAGGAGGAGAAGCAGCTGCAAGGAGGAGGAGAAGCACGCGCCCCCCCCCCCCCACCCCGAGGCAGCCCAACGGCAGCCTTCTTCCACCACTCTGTAGAGCTCCTGGATCGTCCGGGGGGCCACGCCCTCCTGGCCTGCGGGCGAGGGGCGCCGTCAGGGCAGGGCGGCGCGCGGCCACGACGTCGTCGTCGTCGCCGATGTGTTCGAATAGTCACTTCTCCTCCTCTTTCCTCCAATTCCTCCTCCTCCTCCTCCTCCTCCTCCTCCTCCGCCTCCTCCCCCTCCGCCTCCTCCGTACTCTGAGTTCCTGGCGCTGCACTTGTCTCCCACCACGGCGAGCACCGCCCGTGGAATGCGGACGCACGAGAGAGGGATGCGGGGGCCTCGGGAGGCCACGTCGACACTTTGCGAACGGGGCGCGCGCGCGGCCAGCGAGAGCGACCAGGGATGGGCAGAGAGGGAAGGATGCCCATCCTTACTACGCGGGTTGACTGCAGCCCACGACATTGTCCCACGTGGGGCCGCACACGCGGCCGGCGGACGAGACGACCAAGCGGGACAGGGAAAACCGAACCCGAAGGGCAGCAAGAGGGCCCCGCCACGCTCTGCACAAGGGACCACGGACACCAGTGTACAGAACAGGCAACGACGGGCCCCCCGCCGCCCAAAGCACCCGGGAAAAAGGTTTTGAACCCAGGGACCGAGAAACAAGACGACACGTCGACGAGAAGACGGAAGACGACGAACGACATGAGGGGAGAAGGACCGCCTGACCCGTTAGAGAGAGCATAAAATTACAGATAACTGAAAACATATGCTATAGACATAGATAGAGAACAAACAATCCAAGAAAGTGTGTGTATATAGAGAACAAGAGAAAGAGAGACACCAACACACACACACACACACACACACACACACACCAGATCGAACAGGGGCCTGCCCCCCGCCGCGGCTACGAGCGCCGCGCGCGTCTCCGCTCCTCCTTGGGCTGGGAGTAGAGCTCAGGACAAGAAGAGCCCCGAGGCGCTCCTGGCGTGGGACCCACGGGGGACGCGCGGCAGGACCAGGAGGCGCGGCAGGCGGCCACTGTGCAGCTCCACCGTGCGGCGAGCGCTCGCGTGGGCTGTGGACCAAACCCGCCAGAAGTGCGCTTGGCGGACGCAGGGTGGGCCAACGGTGAGAAACCTCACCCCAGGGCGGGCAACCCCGCCGAGGGCGCAGCGGCCTCCCCGAGACGAGCTTGCCAGGCAGGAAGCGGGACCGCAGCTGAAATCGGGGGTTGCTCAAGGTGCCCCTGGCCCAAGGTGTCATCGGCTTTTCGCTCAAGCTTGGAGCCCCCGGGGCCCCCTGGGCCTCGGGAGAGGTGCTCTGGAGGCCGTGGGGACCTCCTTGGACATCCTGGAGGCACCTTGGGCCAGGGGCACTTCTAGCAACATCCGATGACACTATAGGGTGTCCGACATTCACCCTAGAACGTCAGACACCCTAGAATGTCAGACATTCTCGGGTGTCAGAATGTCGCCTGCTTCACCCTGGAATGTCAGACGTTCTAGAGTGAAGCAGGCTGCCTTACGGCCGCGCCGGGTTGGTGGTGCTGGCGGCGGCCAAGGCGGACGGCATCAGTGCGGCGGAGGAGGCGGCCTGGAGCGACGCGAGGCGGTGTTGGGCAAAGGCCAGGCGGTCGACCCCACCATCCCGGATTCGGTGCTCGAGGGCGGCCGGGCGCGTTGACGGCGGCGCACGGCTCGAGGCCGTCACGGACACAGCAGGGAGGTGGTCGCAGTAGACCACAAGAAACCACGAGAAACCCAGCCCTGAGACCCCAGGACGTCAAGTTATTTTGGTGTGGGAAAGTCACGCTTCCCATGGCAAAAGCATCGAAACCCAGGAAGCCTGGGGCACCCTGGAGGCAAGCAGGGCGACTCTTGGCATGGGCCTCCACTGTACTCAGGCGGCAGGAGGAGAAGGAGGAGAAGGAAGAAGGAGGAAGGAGGAAGGTGGAAGGAGGAAGGAGGAAGGAGGAAGGAGGAAGGAGGAAGGAGGGAGGAGGGAGGAGGAAGGAGGGAGGAGAGGAGAGGAGGGGAGAGGGAGGAGGGAGGAGGAGGAGGAGGAGGAGAGAGAGGAGGAGGAGGAGGAGGAGGAGGAGGAGGAGGAGGAGGATGCGCGGTCGGGCGGCCTGGCCGCCACGGCAGCCTGGCCAGTCGCGGCAGCGGAGAGGTGGTCGGTCGCACGCGCTTTCGGTGGCTGGGGCGGCCAGGACAGGGGCAGCGGCGGTTGGGACGCTGGGTTGGCCCCAGGCCGCTGGGTAGCTGGATGGTTGGGCCCCTGCACGCGGGGAGCCGCGGGACCAGTGTCGTCGTCGTCGTCGTCGACGCCGCCGCCGCCGTCGTCGTCGTCGTCGCCGTCGCCGTCGTCGTCGTCGTCGCCCATGCTGTCGTAAGGCTAGACGGGCCCTCGTCATCCGTGTCGGGCCATCGGTCGGCCAAGTCGTCGTCCGGGGTGGTGACGCGGCGGCCGAAGGCGGTGCACCAAAGCTGCTAGGGTGAGGACCACCAGAGAGAGAGAGAGAGAGAGAGAGGAAAAAAAATATTTGAAAGGGGGGAAGAGGAAACACGCAGAAATAAGTACAAACGCGCATATATATATATATATACACACACGGCGGGACGCACTCAAAACATGTTGACCACCTTTGGTGGGATCGTGGGCAAACTCGGTGGCGTATCGGGCCGGCCGAAACCGATACTGAATCCATCGATCGGATCGACGTGTGGACCCTGGAACCCTTCGGCCTCTACCCATAGACCACTGACAACATCGCCTCAGCGAAGAGGTATCCCGTGCGCGTCTCCCTCTCTCTCTCTGTCTCTCTCTCTTTTGAACGTATATCTTGACACCTTGCTGATGAAGAGTTGCTCCTGTGCACACACGCAGCGTCGAAACATGGTACAGCGAATCCCCTTGAACGCGCCGCCCACAGAAACCCCGATCGTCACAAACACCATCGTCGCGCGCAATGCCACCTTGAGAACCGCCATGAGAAAGCACGACCAACACAACTGCCCCACGTGCCACGGCATTCGCCATGGGCACACTGTTTTGACTCGGGCTCACTGCAAGAAAGGTGGCATCATCATTCTCCGTCATAGGCTGCTGCGCCTCCTCACCCTCTTCATAGAATCACGATCATCCTTCTCCGTTCCTTCCTCGTCCTTGCCGTGCTCCTCCTACACCTCCTTCTCATTAAGACTCTTCCTCAATGTCACATGCCACCGGCTACTCCCATGCCAGCCGTCCTCAACTTTCCGACCACCGTCTGCGTGCAGCGGCCCCATGATGTCGAATCGAGGCAGCAATGCTCACTGCGGCTTCGGAAGGGTGCCTTTGGCGCCGTACATGGTGAATGTCTTGCCGGCACCCGTCTGGCCGTAGGCGAAGAGAGTCACCTGGCGAGACTGGGACCGTCCGAAGGCATGGCGAACTGACCGCACCTCGCTTCTGTCTCCTGTCGCAATGCTCGAGCTCCGTTCATATCTGTCTTTCCATACTCACGCATTTGAACATGCACACATGTGTGTTGATCAAAATATACCATGGTAAACATAAGTCTATCCAGCCGCCTGGGCGTAGGTGGTCTGATGGTGTTTGTCTTCTCTCTTATTGAGGCCCTTCTCCCCATCGGGGAGGGGAGGGGATTACCCCTCCCCCTAACCCCCTTCAAGGGGTCTGGACGGGGGGGGGATGGAGCGGGTAGAGCGCTCAAAATGACCCAAGATGGCTCAAGGAGGGCCCGCGATGCTTCAAGATGGCCCCCAAGATGGCTCAATTGGCCGAAGATGGTTCAAGATGGCTTCCGACGTCCCTCCAGGAGGCCCCAAGAAAGCAACGAGATAATTGGAAATGTCCTCGAAGCCCCGCACGGAAACACCCAAGAGGCCAAAATCCGTCAAAACGTAAGGAAATTAATGATTGTTGCCGTTTCGCCTTTTCGTTTCCGATTGGCTTCCGAGGCCTCAATATGGC